CGCGATGGGCATACATATACTGCGTCAAACCTGCCTGTCAGCCAGCATGGATAGTATTACTGGACTTTTATTGGGCTTCAAAGATCGTCCCAGATTACGTAGGATTATTATGAGATTGATCGGCTCTAGTGACACCCAACCAACTTCCGATTATAAGAGAAGCATGCTGTACAGCGTATTAAAGTATTAATTATCCCGCCGTGTCCCGCCCGGATTCACACTTCAGCCCGCATCCCAATGGCTGATTTATAAGCAGGAAGCGGAGACGAGGGAAGCCGGGAGAAGTCTGGAGGGAATATCATGGGCAAAGGATTAAGGATTCCACTGCCAGATGTTGTATTTATCAGCTTTCGAGGGCTCCGTATGGTGGGTGAGCGAAGGCTCCTCAATTAGCCGATCTGTGTTAAAAATAATATTAAATTATCCGTCATCTCTGACAGAGTGGTATTGGGGGTGAAGAAACATGATAGTTATATTTTTGCCCTAGCTCGATATCCATGCTGTACCCGAGCATAATAACCTGGCCACAAGATAGTTTCTTTGACCATGATAATGTGTGTAGTTGCAGGTCTAGGGTTGATTGTGCGCAGGGGCTTTATATTATTGGTGATGCATGGATGGATATCTTCTCTTTACTTACACATACGGAGTACTATGGAAGCAGATTTGGATCAACAACAGATATGGAATCAGTCAATGGGTAGTTAGTGCCGTAACTTTACGGTCTAAATAGCTCTGTAAATATGGAATAATGCAAAATATCCAGCCCCGATATACCCCTCCATGGAGCTCCGCAGAAACCCCCTCTGCTCCGGGCCTATGGTTAGTTATTATTATTATTATTATTATTATTGCTGGTGCTGCGGTTACAATCCACTAAGAAAGACGAACAAACACTAAGAAGTTAAAACTTACCGGCGTTCATTCTCGTGTGATATAAAAGATCTCGACATGGAAGCGGGCCATCGGAAATAATTCTTCTTAAATACTTTAATTTTTACTTTCCTCCTCCACACAATCCAATTCCTCCTTTTTTATATATATATATATTTTTTTTGTGTTCTTGCGCCGTTCGGCAAAGCTGCTTCGAAATCCCGAACAGTCTATATTTTTTTTGCCTCCCCCCGGCCGAAAGAGGAAACTTTCTTTTTTTTAATATATTCCGTCCATCAAACACCCGCAGCAACGACAATTTTCCCGCATAATTTGCCCTTCCTTTTAGCCTTCCCCTAGGCCTGTGAGGCCGCCTGTATTCCAGCTGTCTACACTCTTTCACCATCCCGACGAGCTAAATATATGAACTAACTTCTGTCGTCATGGGCCTGCTGTAAGAGAAAAGAGAAAAAAAAAACCCCTCCCTCAACTCCAACCCCTCCCCCTTCGCATTTTATAACGAAGCACCCATTTCTCACCGCTAAATTGTCTCATATAGAGCGCTTGGCACCCCGCTGGCCTGGCCGGAAGCGAAGAAGAATGCAAAGCAGGTCAGGGAATGGGGAATTGAAGTATGCGCGCGCGTCTCTCCTTTCCAGCCCGGATTAAAATGTCCTTAATTATGCCGCTAACGCTTATTCCGCTCAGCAACTTCTGGCCATCTGGAGAAAGGCGAAGGGCAAGGAACGAGATGCCCTGCTCTGGGGCGATGAGGTATGAGATCAATTATCCAACTTGAGTATATGATTTCCTCCTGATTGGTTTGCTGATGGTGATTTTCTGTTTGCGGAGAAAAACAGGTTGAGTACCTTGTCGTAGCCGTGGATGAGAAGGCACAGAAAGTGCGCCTTTCCCTCCGCCAGGCGGATATCTTGGATTCGCTCGCTCACGAGGAAGCGCAGGCAAATGGGAAGTTGGTGCAGGGGCTTCTGGATGGAGTGTATGTGATTATGATCAATAACGTGCTCCGTTTGCGCTATCCCTACGTTGTCATTGATCCGTATGTGGGGAGGATTTTAATTTGGTACATTGCTGCTAATGTCGCCCGTTTTGTTGTTGATACAGAAAGGAGCCACTTCCCAAGTTCCACCCGGAGTTTGGACGGTTTATGTTGGAGGCGACCCCAGGTCAGCCATGGGGAATCGGATTCGAAGATCTCTTAAAGGTGGAGTCTAACATGAAGTGGAGGTGCGTTCCCTCTCTAAGAAAAATTTCTATCAAAGCGCTCGAGCTTCAAATGCGCTGTGTATAACCTGCTAACATGTGCGTATGGTGAACAGGAGAGTTATTGCGAAAAAGCATATGGCACCGAATGAGTATCCCATAACCCTCACCACATTCCCACGGCTAGGCACCAAGGACGACTTCACATATCCGTCCTACCCCCTCTCCGGCGGTGCGCTCCGCTCCCAATTCGTCCCCGACGAAATCGCAAACCCCCATATTCGCTTTCCCACACTAGCAGCGAATATCCGGTCCCGGAGAGGCCGAAAAGTGCGACTGAATGTCCCGGTGTTTCGAGATACGAATACTCCATGGCCATTTAATGACCCTACCGTCAACTACGATCTCCATAACTGGCCAGAGGACGATGATGTCCGCAAGGGAGCTGTGAAACAGAATCATGTGTATATGGATGCCATGGCGTTTGGAATGGGAAGTTGTTGCTTGCAGATCACCTTTCAGTGCAAGAATATTAAAGAGGGGCGGAGACTTTATGACCAGTTAAGCCCACTGGGCCCGATAATGCTGGCATTGACCGCTGCTACACCGATTTACAAAGGGTTCTTAGTGGACACTGACGTGCGGTGGAACCAGATCAGCAACGCGGTTGATTGCCGCACTCCTGAAGAGCTGGGAGAAAAGGTACGTTTTGACACTTCTAATCTAATTCGGGAGCAAATACTTTAACCCCTCCTCCAGTAAGTTACGATTCTAGTTCTAACAGGGAGGGGGGGAAAATGAAATTAGCCGCTCAAAAATGACCGCTGGCGCATCCCAAAGTCGAGATATGCCTCCAACTCCACATACATATCCCAGGATCCGCGGCTGCGACCTGAATACATGGACCCAGACCTTGTCATCGACGAAGACATCAAGAGACGCCTCCTGGACGGCGGCATGGATGACCTGCTGGCCACCCACTTCGCCCACCTCTTCATCCGCGACCCCATCGTAATCTTCGCCGAGGACCTCCAAGAACTTGACCTCAACCAAACCAACCACTTCGAGAACCTACAGTCGACAAACTGGCAACACATCCGCTTCAAGCCACCGCCGGCCGAAAACGACATCGGCTGGCGCGTCGAGTTCCGCCCCATGGAGATCCAAATGACCGATTTCGAAAACGCCGCCTTCAGCGTATTCATGGTGCTCATCACCCGAGCCATCCTCAGTTTCGATCTGAACCTCTACATCCCCATCCCGCGCACGACTGAGAACATGGAAACCGCCCACGCTCGCGATGCCGTCCTCGAGCAGAAATTCTACTTCCGCAAAGACCCCTTCCCACACCGTATCCCGCGCCCACAGCAACAGCAACAGCAGCCTCCCTACAGCAACCAAACAAATACCAGCGGAAACGTCTCAGAGTCCAGCTCCCGTTGCTCCTCCGGCTTCTCAACTCCGAACCTACGCCCCGTCGAATCCGAGTACGAGCTCATGACCATCGCAGAGATCGTCAACGGGACACAGGACGGGTTTCCGGGCCTGATCCCGCTGGTCGAGTCGTATCTCAACGGCGTCAATGTCGATGTGGAGACGCGGTGTCAGCTGGCGACGTACCTGGAGCTTATCCGGCGGCGTGCAGATGGCAGTTTGTGGACGAATGCGAAGTGGATCCGTGAGTTTGTGGCTAAGCACCCGGAGTATAAGCATGATAGTGTGGTCTCGGAGAAGATCTGCTTTGATCTTGTTAATGCTGTTGAGGAGGTTACGGAGAAGGAAGGGAAGGGTGGGAGTGTTGGGTGGGAGATGTTGAGTAGGACTACGGAGTGATTTTTTCTTTTCCCCCTTTTGCCCACTTCTCTTTCTCCCTTTTTTCCATTTCTTTCCATTTCATTTTTTTCCCCATTTACTGTTACTTGTATAACGCTGCTTACGTCCTGACTCCTGCGTTCTGGCTTTCTTCATACTTTTTGCTCTAGATCTTTGTCATGATGTCATTTCTAACGATATAATTGTCTACTTCATTCAGGGGCGGTGGTAACTGCTTTTTGCTAGGAATATTTAGACTCACCACCAATGGTGGAATCAATGACCAAAGATATTTTGCCTTCTTTTTTTAACATTTTTCATTTCTTTCTATACGATGTGATTTACCATTCATTTCTGGCGGGGAAATCATGATTATGAATCAGTTCAGAGATGGATGGGTATTTCGCCAACCCCCCTTTGGTTCCTCTCTTTCATGCTCTTGTCTCATGCCCACTCACACGCACGCTTAAGATCTCATTATGGAAGATGCATAAAAGACCTATACTCTGTACATACAGAGTACATCTGACTAATTCATCGCAATACGATAATTCCTCCTAAGTGTAAACTAATGTATTTAAACCCCCTTTTTCATACACGGGCACTAACATCCCCCCTAACCTTCTTTTTTTCCTTTCTTCTTTTCCTTACTCTTTTTCTTTTTGCTTCATTGTTAAGTTACGGGACTGAAACGCTTGCATTTACAGTACGTCCTGTTCAAGTTTCCTATTACCAGGTTGTTCAATTGGCAAACTGTTAGCCTTGGTGGTTATCAAAGCATGACGCTATTAACAGCCACAGCCAGCTGAGTTTAAGAGCCTGCCGCCATCATCCTCCTACCCAACAGCAGGCAGACGGAAGCTGTCATATGATGGGAAACAGAGATAGGGGCAACGGGGCTTTCTGTCTCGGACGTACTATGCATCAGAATCTCTTGAGTATAGTTAGCCCCAGCCCATCCTTCTCCATGAAATATGCGGTCCCAATTGCGCAATTGGCTAGCTACCCAATCCTTCTACACCGCCAGTATAACTACTAAAAGTTTGACTACCAGCAAGGTACAATGTACATACATATACACATTACATTAATCAACTCAAGCAAGAAGAACACCTCACCATATTGGTAAATTTCATAAACCAAACAACTCAACCCACGGAAATTCCCCCTCAGTTTCCCTCCTGGATCAACCTCCCTAGTATCTAGGATGAGGGCAATCCATCTCTGGTATTCCGTGAAAGCTACTTGAGCTCTCCGGGGTTCTGCCGACTCTCCCCCCCGTTCAAGGGATACCCATGGTTGAGCTTGAGAAGAAACAAAGATGCTCCAGCACCGTTTCTGAAAATAGCAGCAGTACATCCTCGCAATATGACGCGAAACAGAGCATTTCCAAGGGTTTCCAATGGCAAGGCAAACTTGACTTAAGCTAGCTAACTACCTGTGATAAATGCTGTTGGCCTGTAGTATATTAAATTACGTGATAACATCCAAAACGTTCAGCGCTGGCTGTGACTTCCGCGCCCAGGCATTCCGCCCAATATCAAATTACCAGGAAAGCCAGCTCTCTCTCAATTAAGGGACCTTGCTCGACGTATCAACAAATTATTATCGCCCTATGCATATATAAGTATAGAAGCACTCATGATTATCAGTGAGCGAAGAAAATAGTGTCCAGATTGAAAGAACCATCAGTAAAAAAAATCCTTCCCTCAAAATAGACCATCAAACAGTCTCAAAAGCTCATCAGACCCCTGGCCTGCATTGCCTCCAATCTCCTTGATCCTCTCAACAGCCCAGCCCATGGCCTTGTCCCCGACAAGTTCCCAGGTATCCTTCTCGTCCAGACACTTCTTCTTCAAATACGCTAAGACAACAAGTGTCGCAACAATAGATCTCTGCTTTGTATCCTTGCTGCCGACTCCAGATTGTTTTCCCAATATGGCTGCCCAATCTAGTTTCTTTTCGGCTTCCGACGCGTTGAGATCCATGATCGCAAATACATTGTCTTCCCACATCCATGATCCCTCGAAGGACTGATGCGATATCAAGGCGTGGACCTTATCCTGCGGCGACTTTGACTCTTTAGGTTCGGACTCTGACTTAAAGAATCTTGCCAGCTTTTGTTTCGCCGATGGTACCACGCTGGATCTTTTCCTGGCGAAAACGTTTGCTGACTTGGCCAAATCGTCACTTTTGCTCACTATGCCGTCCAGTCGCTCGCCACGTTTGAGTGCTAAGTAGTAGAAACCATCTTGTAAGCAATCTATTCACAAACGTAGGCGGACAACACACGCATCTATACACAAACTGGGAATGCAAAAGGTGGAAACTATGCATGGTGAGAACTTACGAATATCAATACCGGATGAGGTTGACACGGCTGGTGGGCCTAAAGGAGACAAGAGTCGATTAGTACTAGAAAACGGCAAATTAAGGGATGAGGGTTTGGGATGTAGAGATGAATAGAAAGACGCCAAAGTAAGAGGGCGTGTGGGGGCTTGGTTCATTGACTGCAAGGAGAGGGATAAGTGTCGCACCGAAAGGTGAGCTGGTTGCTTGCCCTGGAGGCGGAGGAGCTGATCCAAATAAACGCGTAGAGGCAGATTGAGGAGGGGCGGCAAAACGTGATTGTGTATGGGAAGAGCTAGATGTAGAGAAAGGAGACCCGAAACCACCAGAAGCTAAGGGTTCTCCCAAAGGTGAATCTGGCGTGTTGTTTGTTAGAACTGAGCCAAATGGAGAGTGAGGGGGAGGTTGAGATGGTGCAGCAAAGGGCAATTGGGTTATAGTGGAGCTAGATGTTGAGAAAGTAGATCCAAAACCTCCAAAGGCTGTAGGTCCGCCAACGCTTGAACCCGGAAGGTTATATGCTGGAGCTGAGCCAAAAAGTGCGGTGGTATTTGAAGCTGATGGATTTAGAGAAGGCGAAGCAAATAAGGATGTCGGGTTAGGGGAAGGCGGAGGAGCAGCAGGATGGGACGGAAGTGGGGGTGAATAATTAGAGAAAGAACCTCGTGGACTGGGCGAAGCCTTACCAGACATACACATAGTGGAATAACGAGGCATAGTACAAAGCTCCTCTGTGTACTCCTCCTGGTCATAATCCATGACAAAACCTGTATCGCCGTCAGACGACTCCTCATCGTCTGTATGATCCCGGTCGCCAGCAGTTTCAGAAATAGGATGATTGCGAATACCTGGCAGTCCTGCTTCTGCCTTCTTGTCCGCCTTGCCCCCATCCGTGGTTGACTCCACAGCGACAAAGGAGCAATATTTCCCAGCCACTTGAAACTGAATCCCGAGTCGAACAGCTTCGCGCTTCACAATATCCTCCTTTTTGCTTTCATGCTCGTTGACAATTAGCTGCCCCTTCTCGTTCTTCGTATGGTATATCCACCCTCGGCCTTCTTCTAGTTCAAGTGTCACTTTCCGCGCAGCCAGTTGATGAAGCTTTGTGCCTTGGCCAATATCCTCTAGCGGAATTTTCAACATCAAAGGGCCGTGTTTCGAAGTGGCCCTGAGAACGAGTGATTTGAGGGCTGCACTAGGAGCGTCCGGAGACAGAAGGAAATAAACAGTGGTCCTCGTAAATGGGTAGAGCGTAGGTATTTTGTAAGGCGCCTGGAGAACCTTGGGAGGCTGTAGTTTAGGGAGATTAGCGTCAAGGGGGACAGTGATGGATTTGATGTCAGGCTCCTGATAGGAAGGGTCGAACAGCGAGATCGGTTCCTTCGATTGTGGGGTTTCTTTCTGTGAGTCCACCTCTATGGGTTCGGCTGAACGCTCTGCGGGACGACCAAAGTTCTCTCCGGTGGGAATTGCGTTTGGTTTCTCGATAAGCTCGAAATCCTCTCCCCCATCATTCTCATAAACAATTTCAGCAGTATAATCCTTAATATGAGGCGTCAAGGCTCCCTTCAACATGCGGACAACCTTTTTGTCCAGTTGTTCGTTATCGCCAACGAACTGTGCGAACCCATCACCAGCTCTTGCAATGCCCTCGATAAGGGATTGGGATGCGCCACTGCCGATACCCAAGCTGAACAGTCGAATGGGCTGCTCAGACACCACTTCGTTAAGGTAGGCAAAGAGCGTTTTCTGGTCCCAAATTTCACCGTCCGAGAGTAACAGAACATCCAAATCCAGGTCCTTGAGACGATTTTTCACCGTAGCCTTCACAGGCTCGAGCATCTCTGTCCCTCCGAAATCCGCAGCTATCGAATCCACGTACTGAAGGGCCGCCTTTAGGGAGGAAGCATCGTATGTTTTACTTTTGTTCCACATGAAGGAATGGCGCGAGCCAAAAGAGCAAATATTAAACTTGACACCGACTGGAAGGGATTTGAGGAAAACTCTCAATGCTGATTGAAGGGTCTTAATATTTCCTGTCATACTCCCACTTCGATCAATGATGAAAACGATTTCCGGGTTATTATTCGGGATGTTGAACTTGGGAACGAGTGTTGCCATCACAGCTCGCTGGTTGGGAATAGTCGGGTGTTTCTCCACAAATGCGCTTGGTACATCCTGATCTTTTGCATTGACGATCAACACAAAGTCCGTATCGAAAAATGCATTTCCTTGCTGCATAGTGTGTGCCGCAGAAGCGAGATTTGGTTCAAACAAGTCTTGGGCAGCAACTGATGTCCGGCCCAGCGTGATTGCAACGGGGTGAGTTGGAGAATGCAGGCCGCGGATGGTGGATCCTCTGTCCACTGAAACGTCTACCGTGATATTGATGGCACCCTTCTTTACAAAGCTGGCCAGGGATTGGCTCAATTCACCAGTGTCTACAGAAGAATTTGCATAGCGGGGGCAGATGATGGCTGGAATACTGAAACGGACACCATCCGCTTGAGAGTCATGCTGCAACTCGCCCAGGTAAGTAATCTGCACAACTGCTTTGGAACCCACGGGGATTTTGCCTATGCTAGTGGTGAAAGTGTCAGACGCCAGGGCGGACTGCTCCAACAGGGCTGCGGCCTGGCCTTTTTTGACAGCGTCCTGGTATTCGAGCTTAGCCTCCTGCCGTTCCTTCACGAGCCCATGGATGACTCGATTGTCAATTTCACACTTAAAACCCACAACGCTGACGCCATCGTGCAAAGGGAAAGTATACTTGACATCTCCTAATTCTCCTGATGTGGGATTAATGAAAGTCTGGGTCAAGGTTGTCCTGGAAGACGTCGACAGTATGGTGGAATGTGCTTTGAGGTCGACTTGGGGGATGTATTGGCGCGTTCCGGATGCCGAATACCAACACCCGCATTTTGGTAGTAGGTGATTTGGGCGGCGGGACATGGTTGCTAGTTTTTGACTTTGAGACAGGAAGATTAATAAGATCACTTATTATGTATGTATCGTAGAAGACAGCTTCCTCATATATAATTTTCAGAACAAGGGGTAAGTTACTGGCGAAGTTAATAAAAATGCCGCGCCACAGTGTCAGCCAGCATGAATAATGATAGAAAGTCGAAAAGTATTCGACAGGAAACGGCGGAACCAAGGCATCCTTTATACTTGTTCCAGCCTCTTTAGTGCTGGGGCCTAGCCATCATCCACCATGGCTGTTTGTGTCTTGAACCCATCTCTCTGCCCGAGCGTGCAACACCAGTCTAACGGGCCACACGAGCCGAGAGGCGTTGGGCGACAAGCCTCAGCTCAGCAATGGTTGGCTCCACACCAAGCTCTCTCTCCCAAGGCTGTTCTTTCAAACGGGGAGATGGAAGAAATTTTGGCAGAGACCCTGCTTGCAGGGCGCCACGGCGGGTGTTATCATGCTGCCTGATGCTGTGACTCCTGTTGCCTATCTCCCCGCATCCTGTATTTTCCCCTGGCTTCCTCTGCCCGGTGAATTCTTCATTTCTGCCCTCTCTCTGTCTCTTTCCGGAGGAGGGAAGACGTTACATCTCCATCTTTCAGGCCAGCTCCTTTGATGTCACAAATATTCCGGAGAGAGCTCCCTTTGACGTCATGCCCGATTTGGCTAGATCCTTTCAACGATTAACCGTGCCATGCTTACTCACTCTCTGTAGTGAGAGTGAGTAAGCATGGCACGGTTAGTTAGTTACATCATCGCCATTTTATCCTGCGCAAAACATACACACAAGGATCAATTGGTGAAGAAAAAAAAAAAAAAAAAAAAAAAAACAGAGAGAGAGCATCCCCTATCAGAATTCCTGGGTGAATCTTTTCTAGCTTTTTGTGTGTTCTACGAATATTCTCTATTGTTGGCTCGAATAAAATGGTAAAAAAAAAAAAGCTCTCAAGCCCACGGAAAACCTCGCTTTCAAGGGCTTCATCTTAGCTACATTACATTGGGTCTCCATTCATCGATAATCAAATGTCAATGATATTGCAGCCGTGTGCCTAATTTCCTAGCAAGAATTGAGCCGGGTAGGGCGGGAAGAGACAAAAGGAGAGGGAAAATAAAAATTTACAAGAAACCAAGAAGAAGATCAATCAATGGCTGTTGAAATTTCTCTCGTTACCCACATTCCACCAAACGTTTCGGCTAGAATCTACCAATAGAATAGAACAGCAATTGCATGACAACGTAAATAATTTATCCGATGGAACAACAGTGGCCTTCAAAATGAGAAAGAAAGAAATGAAAGAAAGAAATATCAAAAGCAACGTCGCTGCTGCCTCCCAGCTTGAAGATCCGGAACCCCAAAGTAAAAGTAAAAGTAATAACTGACGCATCACAATCCAAGCAAAAGACCGACCCAAGACGAGTAGAGAAAGAAATAAGAAGTAGAGAGCAGAGGTAAACAGGCACACAGGCCGTAGGTGAATTCACAATTTGGCTTCACCGATGCAGAAAGGAGGAATGGATATTGCTAAAAACAAAGCAAGGACACGGAAGCTAAATAACGCCAATCAGGTCTATCCCTATGGATATATATCAGAAGTTTTTAGTAAATAATAATAGTAATAATAATAAATCCCAAACCCTAACTCCATTTTTCGGTACTAAGAGTACACATTATAAGGTAGGCGAGTATATGTATATACCAGCATCTAAGAACGAGTTGATGATCGAGAATCCACACTGTTTTTAGGTCTGAGATTTGGGCCCAGCGAGGAGGGTTTATTATTGCCGGCCTTCCGAGTAAGTTTTGCATAATGTAGGCCACAAGCGTTGCAAAGAGTGCGAGCGCCATCTGGTCCGCGTCTCCACTCAGGAGTTTCTGCTCGATTACAACTATGGCATCGGCCAGGAGGGGCAGCTTTCTGTAAATTGGAGATCGTTAGTGCTAGCATTGGCTAAGATGGCTGGGAGTAAATGGCTATGCTAAGTTGAATAGGTAGGCGATGTGCTGTGCTTAAGATAAGGAAAATGGTAGGTGTACATACCCCTCGCCGCTTCTTAGTATCACCGCCGGCAAATCCACCCCCTCCTTTAAAATCTTCCCGATACATAGGCGGTTGTCCTTCCTTACGGATGCCGTTAGTTTTGTAAACTGGTCCCTGAGCTCGTTGCTCTGCCTGCTGCTCCGCTAGAACCTGTTCAACAGCCAGACTCCGAATTCTAGCCAGAGCATCAGATGTTCGGCGGAGCGTCAGTGCCAGATCATCAATCTCCGCCAATTGCGGTATCAATCCCACAACTGGCCCCGGCCGATTACTCTGGTGAGCTTTGGCACCAAAGTGGCTTGCGAACTCAGCTACTCTGCTACAGCCTTCGACAATCTGCTTAATAGTTAACGAAAAGGTGTAATGAACCAAAATATAGCTAGATACATACCTCGAGATAGGACGATTCAACATCATATCCGTCCAGTTGCCGTTTAACAGACTCGCTATGAGGTGCGGTAGTGCCATTAGTAACCCGTACCCCTTGTTGCATATCCTCGATGCGGGCTGGATCGATACCGTTTTGGTTCCAAGGGGGAACAAAACCTGACCGTGATTCATAGGGCGCAGTATGGTATTGCAGCGAAGGTGGGCCGTTGGGAGCGTGGGCGCCAAATGGTGCTGGTTGAGAGTATGGAGGATAGTTATTAGAAGACGACATTGCCCCTGCAGAAGATGGTCCACTGAACTCGTAGCTGGAACTTTGGGAGTTTGTCAGGGAGGGTGTCCCTGTTTTAGAGCTTTGAGTTGGTGACTTCCCCGAGCTTAGGGATGGGATTGATGGATTGCGAGAACCCTGGGATTGCGTTGACGCAAAACTCGATCGCTGCCCTTCAGGATGAGGTGGTCCGCTCTGGGCGCTCGAATGTGCGCTGAATGGATTATCCCTTAGGAATAATGTTGAAGTTAAAAATGGATTGGGAGGGCCACTAGGTCCCTCTGCACCTGGGCGGGCAACGATATTTGACGGCATGGCAGATGATACAGGGGGTTGTCCTGGGTTAGAGGAAGACGAAGCTGTGTGAGAATAGGGTAGAGTGTCGCTACCTAATGCTTCATGTATTGAAGGGAGAGATTGCCGTTGAATGGTATGCAGAGTTTGGTTGGGCGATTTCTGGTCCTTATCTTCGTCCCCGGGGTGTCTTGTATCGGTAGGAGAGACCTGCGCCGATCCGGCAGACGACAAATAATTATAAGAGTGGTGACCCGGATGATTAACAGTTGTCGGATTGACTTGCGGTGCAGTTGAAACAGACAATCCCGCCGCGCCTGGTGGGAATTGAGCGCTGCTCCGTTGACGGTCACTCTTGGCGGTTTCTAAATCCAGCTGGCCAATAGACGGTAACGACTCTCTATGTGCATCGCTCTGATGATGTAAACTGTTCCCGTGCTCCTTGACACCGTCCGCTTCCCGTCTCGGTGGCTGAAATGGCGCTGTTGCTGAACCTGAAACTCCATAGACGGGCCAATGCCTGCCCGCCTCCCCTGTGACCATTTTGCCTGCGGTATGTTTTGGGTACTGACTTCGTCGACCTCCTGGGTGGAATCACACCAGCACAACCATCCACGTATTCTATGGCCCCCCAGCAAATTCACACAAAGTATGCTCTTCAGAGACTTCACTTTAATCTCCGGAGACCGCCTAAAGTGCTGCCGCAAGCTGTTGTCGAACAATTTCCCTGTTTGCGCAATGACCTCAAAAGGGGCCAGGCAAAGCTACTTAGCTGCTGAGCTCCAACGTCACACAATGCTCAAGTCTTCTAGGCGCAGGAGGAGATATCTCGGATCAAATCAAAAGGAGTATTAGACTATCTCTTAAAAAGGAAAATAAAAATCAAAATAAAACAAAATAAAACAACAAAGGAAAATAAAACAACAAAGGAAAAGGAAAAGAAAGAGAGAGAGAGAGTAAGGAAGCAAACACCCTTTCAAAATGTATCTTGCAGGCCTTTCTCCTCCTTCCCTGCAGGAGGATTTGGACCTGATCAAGATCAAAGGACGGCAAGGTACCAAAGTAATAACGGGCGCTTTGAAATTGGGCGGCTGTGGGGCCGGACGCCTAAGTTTGTTCGTTGACTGATATTGGCAACAGTGGGAGATAAAAATGCACGAGATTTATGTAGAAAGCGAGGGAATTCAATCCAAGCTGGAGTGGAGGGACGGAATTATCGCTGATCAGATCCAGCTAATTCCGCAAATCACCTCCTGTTTATCCAGGAAACCAGGCCTGAAGCTACCAAATCAATATATACCGGGGTTTCGTCTCCGGAAAGTAACGAAGGTCGGGGCGGGGAACGGCAGAATATGGGCCTAGACGAACTGGGAGGCGACGAACCCAAATACAGAAGCTCGATTTTGATAAGTTAACGTAGTAGGATGGCACTTTTGATGTAGACAGGAAAAACGAGGTTGACGAGCGGGAGAAAGAAAGCCGAAAACAGGGCGGCGGTTGGACTAAAAAGAAAGATGAACAAGCTCCGAACCCACGTTGCCCGTGTCGAGCCAAGCGGGAGAGGTTGAGGTTGCAAGATTTGCAGATGAGATTGGCAGAGGGCTTGGTATTGGTATTGCTGGTATTGCCTATACGTGCTTGCATGAACTTTCCAATGTCATGTATTTAATAATAATTCTGTACGGAGTAGTTACCGTCGTCCGTATGCCCATACACGGGCTGAGATTGGAGCATGTTCCACGTAATAATACAAGTGTATGTATAGTTATCTGACGTATTACGGTTCCGGCGTATTTTCCTGAGCAAGAGGGTTTATTCTCATTTATCCAGTGAAAACAACCCCTAATAATAATAATAATAATAATAATAATAATGTATGTGTTCTGGAATAAGGTGGGGCTCGAATTTTCACAGGAAAGATTTACATTATATTCGGCAACGCAACGGCTGTCCTGGCGACTTCCTCTGCGTATGAGTGTGTGTGTGCTGATTCTCCGCTTCATAGTGCAGCACACCTTGGTTGCAAACTCACTTTCGAGTCTCGGGAAAATGATAACAGGCTTATTATTATCTTGGATATGATATGGTCCATGAGGGCGCAGCGTCTTCTGATTGAGTCAACCCACATTAACAAATTGAAGTTGCCGCTCGGAGGAACCTGATAAAATCGGGCTAGCTTGATGGGTTGTCAATCCAGCTAGTGGCCCCAGCAGAACAGAGTGTTCTGTTCCGTGTGGCCGCCTTGGGGACAGCATCAGTGCTGGCAGGGATCTAAGAAAAGCAAAGGGCCCTTGAGTCCTTGACACTGTCAGTTGTGTGTACAGAAATTTGAATCAGGGCAGTTCCGGAATAATCAAATCTCATAAGTAATTCAGAATTGATTCAAATCAATTCGGAGTTAAAACCTGCATAATATATCATAAAATATATATCATTCTGTAGTAAATTTGATAGAAAATTTAAATATGAAATTGAAAATTCTTCAAAATACTTCTGAAAAGAGATAAATAAATTTTAAAATAAATACTTTGTATTAATTAATTTGTATTACTTTAATTAGAATTAAATATTATATTATAAAATATATATTATTTTCTAAAGAATTTAATAGAAATTTTAATATTAAATTTAAAAATAAATATTTATAATTAATATTTAAATATTTTATAATAATAATAAAAACTATTTTATTATTATTTTATATAATAAATTATAATTATAACATAGTAGTAATTTAAATAAAATATACTTTTTTACTTTAAAAAAAATAAAAAGAGATAAAATAAAAACTTACTTTTAAATATAAAAATAATTATAAAGAAAATAATTTATTACTTAGAAATTAAATAATAAAATATTATTTCTTTATTATTTCTTTCAATTTTTAATTTAAAAATATATAAATTAGAATTAATTTTAAATAAGTATTAATACAATTAATTATAAAAAAAAGAAAAAAAAATTATATTTATTTTAAAATTTTCAGTCTTTTTTTTAGTATTTTTTTCAGTATTTTTTATTTTTTTAGAAAAAATATTTAGAAGTAAATTTTATTATTTTATATTTTATTAAAAGTATTAACTTTAAAATTTAATATTAATAATACTTAAATTTAAAATTATTTAATTTAATTATTTTTCAAATCTAATTTCATTTTCTTAGCTATTATAAAGTTGATAAAAAATTTAATTTATTAAAAATAATATTAAATATATAGACTACTAACTCTAACTTAGCCTGTAGAGAAACAATCTAATATATATATATATATTTAAAAAAGTGTTTATTTTTATAAGAAATTATACTTCTTATAGTTTTATTGTAAGAATAAGTACTTGCAGACAATTATTCAGAGATTCACAGCTTAATATAATATATACTAATAATTACTAGAAGTATTCACAGTAGAAAGATAAATGTAAAAATTCAATATATAATAGTATTTAAGCTGAGTTATAAATAGTAGTCATGAACTCTAGTTTATATAGTCATATGTAGTTAAAAGCTGCTAACTTTATTAATTACATAAGATATAGAAATAAAGGTAAAGAATTCACAAGAAGTAGAATTTTACACCTGTAAATCTTCTTACTTCTATTCTTATTACTTACTTAATAAGTGAAGTTATGTAAGAAATCCTGCTTCTTGCAGATTCTTTACCTCTATTTCTATCTCTTATGTAATCAATAGAGCTAGTGGCCCTTGACTACACATAACTATATAGACTGAAGTTCATGAATACTATTCATAACTTAACTTAAATACTATTATATATTTAATCTCTACATTTTATCTTTCTACTATAAATACTTCTAGTAGTTAATAGTATATATTACATTAAGCTGTAAACACCTGAATAATCATCTGTGAGTACTTATTCTTACATTTCAAGCTCAGTCAGTCAGTAACTGTCTGTTATAACTGAAAGAACTAGAAACTTATATACTTCAATCTCTATAAATTCTACTGCAGACACTCAGAAGCAGTCATCTAAATTATGAATAACTCTTATAAAAGAAGTTTCAGAGAACTTATTAATTACTTACAGAATATTATTCTCTGTATCTGTGATAGAGAAACTCTTCAAACTCATAAATAAATTAATCTTAGTGAAGAACATTCTTGAGTATCTTCTATAAAATTAAGCTATTTTTCTATAAGAAATACTTACTGTCTGTAAACACTCTTGAACTGAGTCTCTAGACATGATCTTTAGAGATACTTATAAACTGAAAAGAAACTTTCTTAAGTTATAATTACTTAAGATCACTTATCAAATCACAATCTATAAAAGCTTTTATAAGTTTATATTTGAAATTAACTCACAAGCTCAGCTGTGTGATATAAAAGATGAAGAAGCTATTATCTATGTAATAACAGATCTCTATTATACTGAAGTCAAGAACTGACTGAATTATTTAGAGAATGATTATAAAAGATTCTACTGATCTGTTCTCAAGATCTATTCAGAGAATAAGTTGAGAGACTCTGTAAGCTGAACAGAGAATATCTGAGCTGTGATTATTAATATTAGAAAAAGAGATGAGAAATCTGATAAAGACTACTCACAGTATTTTATAAAATTATGATGTGAATTAAGATCTGTGAAAACAGAGTTCTGAAATAAGATCTGAATGATAATATTTATAAAAAAGCTGAATAAAGATATACAGAATAAGCTCATTGAGTAAGACTTTAAGTTTTTAACTCTGAAGAAACTGATAACTCTTATTCACTATTTATAGATCACTGTAAGAGTCACAGATCTATGAAGAGTGAATTATTAACTAACTCTGTAAGAGTCAGAATAACAGAGAATAGATTTATTAGAAAAAGATAATAAAATATAGAGAGATTCATATCTGACTACTAAGTAAAGAGAAAGAGTTTCACAAGCTTCTGTAAACAGAGTATATAATAAAGAGACTAAGAAAAAGAGACTCTATTTTATCTATTCTAAATCAGAATATCTCTGCACAAACTATCTAAATAAATTAAAATAGAAATTTAAAAAGTTATAGACAGAGTCAGTAACAGTCTTCTTAAGAGTCTTAAAGCTAATATCTAAATCTGTTACTTCTCTGATAAAAATACTTACTTATAGAGAGAGACTGCACTGCAGTACTGCTACTCTGCAAGTATAAAAAGTATTAATGAACTCAGAATCTCAGATCACTGTAATGTTTCTAAAACTCACAGAGTGTATAAGCTAAAAGATGAAGACTGAGAATCTACTCTTATAATAAGTAGAGTGTGAGAACTCAGATCTGAGAACTGAGAGACTTATAAAAGTCATTTTTAAATTATAAGATCTCTCTGAAATCTGAAGAAGATTTATAGAAACTGTGATTATTACAGACATTATAAATAATATATACTTAAGACTTATATAACTTCAAAGACATAATTCATATATAGCTGTTCATAAGTCAGGTTTATACTTCTGATCAGTGTTAGCAGACTCACTCATAGAGATAGAATCAGTTGATACTGTAGAGTTAATTAGAGAAGACAAGCTTATCTATATAATAACTTTATAAGTGTCTGAGAATCTTATGATTATGAAAACTGAGCTTTAGATATTAGAGAAATACTGAGATCTTACAGAGATATTCAGCTTAGTAAAGACAGCTGAGCTTCTTTCTCACTGTGAGAAGAATCTGATAATAGATTTGATAAAAGAGTAGAAACTCTTCTAAGAATCAATTTATAAGCTCTCTTATTACAAGACAGAGATCTTACAGATCTATATAAAGAAGAATTTAAAGAATGACTTCATTTAATCTTCACAGATCTCTGTAAGAGTCTCTGTGATATTTATAAAGAAGAAGAATGAAGATCTTAGATTATATATAGACTATTACAATCTGAACTTTAAGATAATAAAGAGTCACTATTCTCTATCTCTGATTAAGAATGTGATTAACTGTCTTATGAGAGCTGTTATATTCACACAACTGAATGTGATTAATATATATACACAGCTATAAATACAGTCTGAGAATGAATAAAAGACTGTCTTTAGAACTACACTAAGATTATTTAAATATCTAGTAATATCTTTTGATCTGACTAATGTCTCTGCAGTATTTCAGTCTTTCATTAATAAAATACTTCATGTATATTTAAATGTCTTTGTAATAATATATCTGAATGATGTGATAATGTACTTTATAAAGAAGAAAGAACACACTGAGTATGTATGAAGTATGTTAAAGATTCTAGATGAGACAGAACTATATATTAAGCTTATAAAGTACAACTTCAGTACTTACTGAATTAATTTTCTAGAATATATAATCACTGTAAATGATATTCAGATGAAATCTTTGCAGATTGAGACTATTTTATTATAATTAAAG